TATGTTAAGGAACACCGAAGCTATAATTTGTTTTATATTATTTTCCCACCAATTTTACGATCGTTCCTATGGCAGCTATATGATATAGTCTTCGGATTTTGATCAAATTTAATTCGAAATTCAAAACTAATTAAAAAATGTTATTTCCAAGGAAAGGAGGTAATATGTTAAAAAACACCAAAGATATAATTTTTTAACATTTTTTTTCCCGATTATTTCTATGGGAGCTATAAGATATAGTTGTCCGATCCGGCTGGTTCCGACTTATATACTACCTGCAAAAGATATAAGACTTTTGGGAAAGTTTCAGACTGATAGCTTTAAAACTGAGAGACTAGTTTGCGTCGAAACGGACGGACAGACGGACAGACAGACAGACGGACATGGCTAGATCGACTCGTCTAGTGATGCTGATCAAGAATATATATACTTTATGGGGTCGGAAACGTCTCCTTCACTGCGTTGCAAACTTCTGACTGAAATCATTATACCTGCAAGGGTATAATAATAAATGCAAGGGTAGAATACATATTTCATTATTTCGCTGACCGTTTCTTTGACAGCTATATGTTAGAGTCGTCCGGTTTGTATTAAATATAATTCGAAATTCTTAAAAATACACAAAATGTTATTTCCAACAGTAAAAGATAATATATCAAAAAACACCGAAGCTATAATTTGTTACATATTTTTTTCCCACCAATTTTCCGATCGTTCCTATAGCAGCTATATGATGTAGTCGTCCGATTTTGATAAAACTTAATTCGAAATTCAAAACTAATTAAAAACAAGTAAGAACGCTATAGTCGAGTACCTCGACTATCAGATACCCGTTACTCAGCTAAATGGAGATATGCAAGCAGCAAAGCGAGATTAAAATGCGCCACCTACCGGCGGTATACAGATTTAAGCGTTATGGGCGTTAGAGTGGGCGTGGCAAATTTTTTTTTGGTCAATCGATAGGTATCGACGAGACCAATACATTTCACTTAAAATTTTTTATCTAGCATGAAAATTGTGGACGTCACAGGTTTTTGCGGTTTGTGGGCGTTAAAGTGGGCGTGGCAAAATTTTTTTGGGTCAATCGATAGGTATTGAAGAGAAGAATACATTTCAGTTAAAATTTTTATTCTAGCATCAAAACTTTAGGAGCCACAGTTTTGGGCGGCTTGTGGGCGTTGGAGTGGGCGTGGCACATTGCTGAAACAAACTTGCGCTGCGTAAGAAGCTCAGGAATCTGCACGCCAAATCTCAATAGCCTAGCTCCCATAGTTTCCGAGATCTCAGCGTTCATCCGGACGGACAGACAGACGGACAGACGGACAGACGGACATGGCTAGATCGACTCGGCTAGTGATCCTGATCAAGAATATACAAGGGTGGTTAAAAGTATTTTCACAAAAAAAAGTTAAATATATTCATAATTTGAACTTACATCTTGTTAACTTTGGCATCAATGGAAAGGTAATTTTAATGCCGTTTGAATGATACAATACATTTCTTAACACATTCAGTACTTATTGAAAAGGACGAATTTGTGTGAAAATGTCCTTTTTGAACTTTTTTCCTCGACTTGAAAACTTAAATTTTTTGATGCAAAAAGTTTCTTCAAAAAAAAATAATAGTAACTGCAAAAGAATTTTTTAAAAATCATTTTGCTTATATTTTTTATGGTTTTTTAAAGGTGACACTGTCGGAAAAAATTTGTATGAAAAAGAGAAAAATATGCCTAAAATGCATGTTTCTAAGCGTTTTCAAAAAATCATAAAAAATATAAGCAAAATGATTTTTGAAAAATTCTTTTTGCAGTTACTATTATTTTTGTTTGAAGAAACTTTTTGCATCAAAAAATTTAAGTTTTCAAGTCGAGGAAAAAAGTTCAAAAAGGACATTTTCACACAAATTCGTCCTTTTCAATAAGTACTGAATGTGTTAAGAAATGTATTGTATCATTCAAACGGCATTTAAATTACCTTTCCATTGATGCCAAAGTTAACAAGATGTAAGTTCAAATTATGAATATATTTAACTTTTTTTTTGTGAAAATACTTTTGACCACCCTTGTATATACTTTGTGGGGTCGGAAACGCTTCCTTCTGCCTGTTACATACTTTCCGACGAATCTAGTATACCCTTTTACTCTACGAGTAACGGGTATATAAATGTCATTTCCAAGCTTAAGAGGTTTTATGTTAAAAACAAGGAAGAACGCTATAGTCGAGTACCTCGACTATCAGATACCCGTTACTCAGCTAAATAGAGATATGCAAGCAGCAAAGCGAGATTAAAATGCGCCACCTACCGGCGGTATACAGATTTAAGCGTTATGGGCGTTAGAGTGGGCGTGGTAAATTTTTTTTTTTAACCAATCGATAGGTATTGACGAGATCAATACATTTCAGTTAAAATTTTTTTATCTAGCATGAAAATTGTGGGCGTCACAGGTTTTCGCGGTTTGTGGGCGTTAAAGTGGGCGTGGCAAACTTTTTTTTGGGTCAATCGATAGGTATTGATGAGAACAATACATTTGAGTTAAAATTTTTATTCTAGCATCAAAATTGTAGGAGCCACAGTTTTGGGCGGTTTGTGGGCGTTAGAGTGGGCGTGGCAAACTTTTTTTTGAGTCAATCGATAGGTATTGATGAGAACAATACATTTCAGTTAAAATTTTTATTCTAGCATCAAAACTGTAGGAGCCACAGTTTTGGGCGGTTTGTGGGCGTTAGAGTGGGCGTGGCACATTGCTGAAACAAACTTGCGCTGCGTAAGAAGCTCAGGAATCTGCACGCCAAATCTCAATAGCCTAGCTCCCATAGTTTCCGAGATCTCAGCGTTCATCCGGACGGACAGACAGACGGACAGACGGACGACGGACAGACGGACATGGCTAGATCGACTCGGCTAGTGATCCTGATCCAGAATATATATACTTTATGGGGTCGGAAACGCTTCCTTCTGCCTGTTACATACTTTCCGACGAATCTAGTATACCCTTTTACTCTACGAGTAACGGGTATAAAAACACCGAAGCTATAATTTGTTTCATATTATTTTCCCACCAATTTTCCGATCGTCTCTATGGCAGCTATATGATATAGTCGTCCGATTTTGATAAAATTAAATTCAAAAAAATTCAGAACTAATTAAAAATTTTATTTCCAATTTTACGATCGTTCCTATGGCAGCTATATGATATAGTCGTCCGATTTTGATAAAATTTAATTCGAAATTCAGAACTAATTAAAAAATGTTATTTCCAAGCGTAGGAGGTTATATGTTAAGGAACACCGAAGCTATAATTTGTTTCATATTATTTTCCCACCAATTTTACGATCGTTCCTATGGCAGCTATATGATATAGTCGTCCGATTTTGATCAAATTAAATTCAAAAAAATTCAGAACTAATTAAAAATTTTATTTCCAATTTTACGATCGTTCCTATGGCAGCTATATGATATAGTCGTCCGATTTTGATAAAATTAAATTTGAAATTCAGAACTAATTAAAAAATGTTATTTCCAAGCGTAGGAGGTTATATGTTAAGGAACACCGAACCTATAATTTGTTTCATATTATTTTCCCACCAATTTTACGATTGTTCCTATGGCAGCTATATGATATAGTCTTCCGATTTTGATAAAATTTAATTCGAAATTCAAAATTTGCGAGGATGCGTGAAACACACCCTCCACATTTCGCCACTTTTATTCTTTCCGCCACGAAGGCATACAATTGGATATTACTGCACGACGGCCATTTATTTATAAGTTATAAGCATAAGTTAGCCATAAGTCGTTACGCCACGAAGGCAATTTATTTATGTTCAAACTAGAAGCTAAGCTTATCAGATTTAAATATCGCGCGCACCAGGGCTGGAAAACCACCCAGTGTTGGTCAACCGAGGGCCAACAGCTGATAGTGCCGATAGCGATAGGCGGAGGATTTGCAAGGGCGGAAGCTCGCTCTCATTCCCGAATGGCAGAAAAGGCGACCAGACCTGGGAGGGGACTTCAACCCGGAGTGGCACAGTGGCACGAGCGTCGGCACGCCGGATCCAAGGAGTAAGTGGGACACAGACAATAGAGATCAGACTGAGTGCGAGTAGGGGACTAGGAAAATAACTTGTGAAACTAGCGAATAATAAAAATAAAAGAGAATGAAGAAGTATGTGTCCGCGTGAATTTGTGCATTTTTCGGGAACCCACGTGCAGTGATTTGTGCCGGTTGGGAATCGTGTTGCATTAGAGAAGCTTGCTCGGTGCAAACGACCACCCGATCGCCCACAAGGAGTTTAGGTAGTCGCGAGTCACCTGCAGTGATCTGTGCCGGTCGGGAATCGTGTTGCGCCAGAGACGATTACTCAGTGCAAACGACCACTCGATCGACCACAGGGAGCACAGGGAAGGGTCGCCTCCGGCCATCCTCCCCTCGGATCCCTACCCCCTACCCCAGTAGCTTGTGAGTCGCACATCCAGGAGGAACGGCCACGCCGTTCAGCTTTGTTGGTATTTTTTTTATCCGGTCCCCGCCGTTCGGTTTTGTTGGTATTCTCTCAGGGATTGGCCACGCTGCTCGTTTCGCTAGTATTTTCGCCGGGAGCAGCCCCGCTCTCCACTATACCCTTCGGGTGTCGTGTTGCGCTAGAGCCGCTTATTCGGTGTAACGCGGATACTCTGGCCTCTTTTCCCCGCAAATCCCTGCGGCAACTTCCCCCCCAGTTTCGTTCCTATATTTTTCTACAAATTTAACTGTTGAGGACCCTGGCCGGACTGAGTTTTATCCCAGCCTATGAAAAAGGTCTTTACACTTTGGCGCCCGAACAGGGACGAATAAGGACGACTAGATATCCTTCAGGAGAGTTGGGTTTTTACCACCAACCGAATGGCCTAAAGACCCATGTCCAGTAGACGAGATTTAGAGAAAGATAGGAGACCGCAGGAATAGTTAGAGTAGGGGATCCCGTAACGCTGCGCCCGCCAACGCCAACCCACTCCCGGAGCGCCACATAGCCACGTGGCCTCCCACGAAGCCGTCAAGCGCATACCGTGCCCCGAGCAGCGCCCACAGAGCGGCCCAGCAGCGCCCAACGAGCGCCCAGCGAGCGGCGTCAGTGCACCACCAGCGGCACCCACGTGTTCATCAGGAGCGCCCAACGATCAGCGCCGCCGCTCACCAGCCGCGCTCACCGAGCGCCATCAGGAGCGCCAATCAGCCGCGCCCACAGAGCGCAAAACCGTGCCATCAACAGTACCAACGGCACCCACAGCAGTGTCAGCCGAGCGCCATCAGGAGCGCCAACCTCAGCAGCGCACACCGAGCGTCTTCCGCGCCCTCAGTAGCGTTCAGCGACCATCAGCAGCGCCCATCGAGCGGCGTTAGTGCCCAACAGGCGCCCTCAGCAGCGCCAACCGAGCGCCAATCACCGCGCCCACAGCAGCGCCCAGCCGCGCCCTCAGCAGCGCCAACCGCGCCGGATACGTGGTCACTAGCCACGCTACGAGCGCCACCAGGAGCGCGCAACGAGCGGCCACCGCGCCCTCAGCAACGTCCACCGCGCCGCCAGCAGCGCCGTCCACGGGCAACGGGAGCGCCATCCGCAACCACATCGGTCAGCCACTGCCGCACGTCAGCAGTACCTGCCGTGCGCCCCTGGTAGCGCCCAGCGCCCAGTCACGCCACTAGGAGCGCTCACCGAGTGATCCCCAGCAGAGCCATCGGCAGCGCCACCGCGCGTATGCCCAGTGACTCGGGAAAGAAAACGTCAGAGGACGCAGAATCAAAGCCAGAGGACAGGTTTTTTCACCGCATCCGGGGGTGATTCCACGACCACAAACATGGGGGTCAGGTGGATCGCCTACCGCCGGAAGGACGAGCTGCAAGCTCTACTAAAAGAGTTTGGACTTGACCCGAACGGCCAAGTAGACGAACTACGACCACGATTGGCATCATCGGAGGAGGAGACCGCAGCCCGGCTCTACGAGAGCGCTTTGCCGCACTGGAGGCAATATACCCGGAAGCACCCACCCCGAGGACGTCCACCAGTCGGGCCACCTCACCGATGCCCGGAATCGAGGATCACACGTTTTCCGTGCCCTGCTTAGGGAACCTACGGAAAAGCCCTGGACGGGAGATACCGGCCGCCAACCCAGCCGCCCATCTTCCGCACAGCCCCATACCCGCGGCCGTGTTCGCCGAGAAACTGCGAGGATGGGGCGTACTTTTTGACGGACAGTCAGACCCCGTTCATTTTATAGAACGCATCGAGGAAGGTGCCACGGCCTACAATGTGAGAACGAGTGACATACCGAGGGCCGTCATTGGACTTCTCTCAGGCCGCGCCGAAGGCTGCTTCCGGGCATACCAAATGCACACCGAGCCATGGGAAACTTTCCGGAGAGAGTTTCTGGAGTTTTTCTTGCCTCCGCGGTACTACCAGAGCCTAGAAGATGCCATCCGGACCAGGCAACAACAAGTGGGCGAGCTCTTCAAAATATACGTAGTGGAATTACGTCTGATGATGCAACGCGCCAAGTACTCACTAGACCAGGAGCTCGAGCGGATCTACGAGAATTTGATGCCGGAGTAGCACCTTTTCATACGGCGACATGAGTTCTCCTCACTAGAGGGGCTTACCCAACTGGCAACTGGGTTCGAAATCGCACGGGATCGAGACCCCGTTCGACATGCAGCCCTAATTCCAACCGCAGGCTGGAATTCCGGCAAGGAGAGCAGCGGAAGACCCACACCTCGACCCCGGAACTTTCCCGCTCCAACGCCCTCTGGACCCAGGAGGCCGGCGATATCCAACGGAACCGGAACCACCGGTTGACATCGGCCGAGCTTGTCACCGCTGCGGAGAAATTGGACATTTCACACGAGAATGCCGAAACCCACCGCTGATGTACTGCTGGGACTGTGGGAAACGAAGCATCCGTACCATCGACTGCTGCCGCCGGACGGAAAACGGCCAGGGTCACCGCCCACGTCGGGAGCCCGCGGTGACCCTCTCGGTGCTCCCCCATCTCTAGATTCCCCACTCCGCCTGGCGGGGGGGCGGATTGTTGCCAATGTTACCATCGAGGGACAACCTTTCTCGGCAACAATTGACACAGGAGCCTCGCGAAGCTTTGTCAGCGAAGCGATCGCCAAGCGCCTAGACTCAGGAAGAAACAGCAGAGAAGTCCGCTCCCGCATCTCTCTGGCGGATGGATCCACAGAAAGAGGTGACCAAGGCCCTCCGGGCGCATGTCGGCTTAAACGACCGACCGATCGGGCTGACGCTACTAGTCCTGCCAACGATCCTGGATGAAGTGATTTTGGGCATCGACTTTCTCTGCGCCATCAGCGCAACTCTAATCTGCGGGCAAGTCTGCTTGCAACTAGCCCCACCTGCCACCCGGAAGGTAGAACCAACCCCAGATACGCGGGCGACTCCTACGGCCGCAACCGCGCAATCCCCAAGCACACCCGGTACGCCGCAATCATCGCAAGGCACCAAGGGGGGGACCAAAACAGTTCCAAAGCCTGCTCCGAGGACTCACATAAAGCCAAACGCGCCAGTACGGAAGACAAGTCCTGACCCCTCGGGACCCCCGTTGTCAAGGAACCCGTCAGGCGACACCGCGGGAACCTGCATCACCACGGAGAACAGGTACGGCCTACAGCCGCAGGCGGACGCCGCCACGGCAAAGGAGAAGAACCCGTTTCGACGCCCCTCCACGAGCGCCATGTTGCCCACCACAACGGTGGAAACTCACACGCGCAAACCAGCCACCTCACCTGGGCCTCGGGAACCACAACGGAAAATCGGTGTATATCAGCTGCCAGCCCAGTCGGACGCAGCCAGCGCACGGAAGCACAACCCGTTCCGGAGCCACTGTCCTCACGGACACCTGGCCACTGTAGCGGAGGACCCAACCAGGCTACAGGTGACCGAAGAACCTCACGCCAAGGAAACCGCCCACTTTCTGCAGGGGGAGCTACAGCTTTTCGTCGAGCTAAGCGAGCCAACGGAGATCGCCGAGCATACCATCACTCTCCGGGATAATAAGCCACTAAAGCAGCGGTATTATCCAAAGAACCCCGCCATGCAGAGCATAATCAATCAGCAGTTGGACGAGCTATTACGAGACGACCGAATCGAGCCCTCCCGTAGCCCGCACAGTGCCCCGCTGGTGCTCGTGCGGAAGAAGACAGGGGATATGCGGATGTGCGTCGACTATCGACAACTCAACACATTTTATACCCGATGCGTACCCACTCCCACGAATCAACCACATATTGGAGCGGCTACGGAACGCCCGGTTCATCTCAACGCTGGATCTTAAGAATGGATACTGGCAGATCCCTATGGCGGAAGGAAGCCGCGAATGCACGGCTTTCACCGTCCCTGGGCGTGGACTCTTCCACTGGAAAGTCATGCCCTTTGGACTGCATTCTGCCCCAGCAACGTTCCAGCGAGCCCTTGAGCCTACTTGGATGACATCATCGTCATCGGGGCGACGTGGGAGGAACATGCCAGGAATCTCAGGGAAGTCTTCCGACGACTGCGGGAAGCAAAGTTTCGGCTATATCAAGACAAGTGCTAGTTTTTCCAGAAAAAGCTGGTATACTTAGGCCACTTGATCAGCGAAGAAGGCATCAGGACGGACCCAGATAAGATAGCTGCTATCCAGGGACTACGCCCGCCAACCAATGTCAAGGAACTCCGTCGCCATTTGGGCATCGCATCTTGGTATCGACGCTTCGTCCAGGATTTCGCCTCCATCGTTCAGCCCATGTCCCGACTCATCAGGAAGGGGGTCAAGTGGAGCTGGGAGGAGCCACACTCAAAGCCAGACTAACGGCCGCACCGGTACTGGCCTGCCCAAATTTTGAATACAAGTTCCAGCTTCAGACGGATGCAAGTTATGCAGGACTTGGAGCAGTCCTCACTCAGAGCATCGATGGAGAGGAAAAGTTCATCGCCTACGTAAGTCGAAAAAAAAACTACTCCACTACCGAAAAGGAGTGCCTCGCCATAGTTTGGGCCACGCGGAAGCTACGCTGCTACTTGGAGGGCTACCAGTTTGACGTGATTACGGATCACCTCGCTCTCAAGTGGTTGAACTCGATTGACAACCTGCTGCTCGCGGAACCGCATAGCCCGGTGGGCTCTGGAGCTGCAACAATACCAGTTTACCGTCCTCTATCGGAAGGGCAAATACAACGTTGTCGCCGACGCCCTCTCCCGACAACCCCTAGGGATGCTTCAGCTGCTCGCGGAACACGGAACTCAGTGCAAATGGATCCGGAGGATGCAAGAAGAAGTCCAGAGGCGCGCCGAAAAGTTTCCGGATTACACTCTGGATCACGGACAGCTGTATCGACACATCGGACACACCTCAGACGTGGGAAACAGCAACCCATGGAAGCTTTGCGTGCCTCGGAAGCAGAGACAACGAGTGCTGGAGGAATGCCACGACCACCCTTCTGCTGATCACCTGGGCATCCGGAAGACTCGCAGACGGATTGCCCAACGATATTTCTGGCCGGGATTACATCGAGACGTTGTGCGGTACGTCACCAGCTGCTTGGTTTGCCAACAATACAAGGTGAGTCAACGCAAACCGGCGGGCAAAATGCTCACCCGCCATCCCACGGAGCCATTCGCGCTCGTCGGAGCCGACTTCGTTGGACCTCTCCCTCGGACCCGATGAGGGAATACCATGCTGCTCGAATTTATAGATGTCTTTTCCAAATGGGTCGAGATCATCCCCCTAAAGAAGGCCACAGTCGCCCAACTGGAGTTTGGATTTCGGGAAAGGATAATATCCCGCTTTGGAGCACCCAGGACTTTGATCTGCGACAACGGCACGCAGTTCACCAGCCGCGGTTTCAAGACATTCTGTCGCACTAACGGCATCAAACTGGAATACACAGCTCCCTATTGCCCGCAGCAGAACCCCACCGAACGGGCAAACCGGACCATCAAGACAATGATAGCCCAGTACGTGGACCAGGATCACAGGACATGGGATCAGCTACTGCCAGAGATCTCGCTGGCCATAAACACGAGCATCTCAGATAGCACCGGTTTCAGCCCCGCCTATCTGGTGCAGGGTAGGGAACCCAGATTGCCAGGAGCCCTCTTTGATGTGGTCACGCCTAGTCTACACTCGTCGCCGTTGGACCCCACTGAGCGAGCTAAACGACATCAGGAAGCTTTCCGCACTGCGCTGGAAACCAACCAGATGGCTTCTCAGGAACAAGGCCGCCACTACAATTTGCGACGTCGCGAGTGAGACCCCAGCTCGGATCACAGGTTATGGTCCGCCTTCACCACCTGTCAAAGGCCAGCGAAGGCTTTAACGCGAAGCTTGCTCCTAAGTACTCGGGGCCATTTAAGGTGCTGAAGTTCCTCTCCCCGAATATCGTCAGGATACAACATATGGAAAACAGGAAGAGGCGAACAGCAGGAGTAGGCGACCTGAAGGAGTACCACCAACGCAGCGACCAACTAGGGGACCCGGAAGTAGCCACCGGAGAGAGCGCGTGCCCAACATAAGGGAATCGACGAATGTACCCAAAGCATCGCAGTAATAACTTTAGTAGAAAACTAGGTTAAGCTGAGAGTTGTACCCACTAGATAAGTCGATCCTCGCACTCAGGCAGGGCAAGTAAGGAACGTAGGCCTAGGCTAATTTTCTAGCAATTTACAGATCGGAACTACAACAACAGGATGGAGCCCTTCTACCCAAACTTCGTCGCAGGGGTCTACCAACCGGTCGACCACCATGACTCGGACATGGATACCAACGACGGCGCACCCCCCAGCCGGGACTCGGCCCTGTCAGAGCGGAGCCCCACACCACCCAGCTTCAGCCCAATCCTCAGCCTCCAGTCACGCGAAGCTCGTAACGGCGACTCCATCTCCACCGTGCCGTGGTCGCCGGACGCAAGCATCGCAGTTAGCGGCGAGCCACCTGCGGCGTTTGCTGCTGGAGCATCGGGGGACGAGCGAGGAACCGGACCTGCAATTATTCCTCATTGGGGAAGAGGAGGAGGAGGTCCTGCAAGCCCTCCGGGAGTGTCCGGTCGCTGGACAAGTCATGGAGGAGGCCCAGTGGATAGTCGCCCCAGTCGGCTGGAGGGTAAACACCCAGCAGCGACGACTGCCTACAGCCCTAGTCGCATCCATCCAGTAGCAGGATCGATGGAGGGTGCGCTACCTGCGCCAGATCGACGGTCATCGGTTCCGAGTCACCATCACCGCCGGGCAGGAGGTGATCGTTTCCCTCCACCATAATCACGCCGAAGAAAGGGGGGGTGTGAGGATGCGTGAAACATACCCTCAACATTTCGCCACTTTTATTCTTTCCGCCACGAAGGCATACAATTGGATATTACGGCACGACGGCCATTTATTTATAAGTTATAAGCATAAGTTAGCCATAAGCCGTTACGCCACGAAGGCAATTTATTTAAGTTCAAACTAGAAGCTAAGCTTATCAGATTTAAATATCGCGCGCACCAGGGCTGGAAAACCACCCAGTGTTGGTCAACCGAGGGCCAACAGCTGATAGTGCCGATAGCGATAGGCGGAGGATCCGCAAGGGCGGAAGCTCGCTCTCATTCCCGAATGGCAGAAAAGGCGACCAGACCTGGGAGGGGACTTCAACCCGGAGTGGCACAGTGGCACGAGCGTCGGCACGCCGGATCCAAGGAGTAAGTGGGACACAGACAATAGAGATCAGACTGAGTGCGAGTAGGGGACTAGGAAAATAACTTGTGAAACTAGCGAATAATAAAAATAAAAGAGAATGAAGAAGTATGTGTCCGCGTGAATTTGTGCATTTTTCGGGAACCCACGTGCAGTGATTTGTGCCGGTTGGGAATCGTGTTGCATTAGAGAAGCTTGCTCGGTGCAAACGACCACCCGATCGCCCACAAGGAGCATAGGAAAGGATCGCCTCTGGCCACCCTCTCCTGGGAACCCCGCCCCAAATACGGTTTAGGTAGTCGCGAGTCACCTGCAGTGATCTGTGCCGGTCGGGAATCGTGTTGCTCCAGAGACGATTACTCAGTGCAAACGACCACTCGATCGACCACAGGGAGCTTGTGAGTCGCACATCCAGGAGGAACGGCCACGCCGTTCAGCTTTGTTGGTATTTTTTTTATCCGGGATCGGCCCCACCGTTCGGTTTTGTTGGTATTCTCTCAGGGATTGGCCACGCTGCTCGTTTCGCTAGTATTTTCGCCGGGAGCAGCCCCGCTCTCCACTATACCTTTCGGGTGTCGTGTTGCGCTAGAGCCGCTTATTCGGTGTAACGCGGATACTCTGGCCTCCTTTCCCCGCAAATCCCCAGTTTCGTTCCTATATTTATTTAGATGACCCTGGCCGGACTGAGTTTTATCCCAGCCTATTAAAAAGGTCTTTACAAACTAATTAAAACATGTTATTTCCAAGGAAAGGAGGTAATATGTTAAAAAACACCAAAGATATAATTTTTTAACATTTTTTTTCCGATTATTCCTATGGGAGCTATAAGATATATTTGTCCGATCCGGCTGGTTCCGACTTATATACTACCTGCAAAAGATATAAGACTTTTGGGAAAGTTTCAGCCCGATAGCTTTAAAACTGAGAGACTTGTTTGCGTAGAAACGGACGGACAGACGGACAGACGGACATGGCTAGATCGACTCGTCTAGTGATGCTGATCAAGAATATATATACTTTATGGGGTCGGAAACGTCTCCTTCACTGCGTTGCAAACTTCTGACTGAAATCATTATACCCTCTGCAAGGGTATAAAAATAGGAAACCTGGCCCACTTTTGGAACGGTGGAGCGAGGAGTCGACAAGAAAAAGTCGTGGATCGGAGGACATAGAAATTTTAGCACGGACCGACCTTGTTAATTTGCGGAAATAAACCCAATAATACGGATTAGGAACGGTGATAAAGGAGTTTGTATATCACCCGTGGAAAAAAAAAACTATGGTATTTATCCTTTTTGGTATATGTATATTGTAATATGGTACAATTGGGATTGAGTTTGGTATTTTTTTGGGTACTGGTATTATTTTTTCCACCGAAATAATTTGAGGGAAAAAATACAAAATATGTCTTAATATGAATTATAATCCCCTGTGAAGTAATAGTATTATTTCGCCGTTATTTAAACTTCTGAGTGAAGAAAAAATACCAAAATATGCCAATAAGTTGTCGGTCGGAGGATGCTATTTGTTTATTATTTAGAACCACTGTATTCTTTTGATTTTATTTAATATAATAATATTCTTTTGATTTTAGTTAATATTTCGAGGGAAGAAAAACTACTCAAATATACCAAATAAATATTTCACGTCAGTTGGTGAAACTTTTTTTTTTATTATATTTAACCGGATGGCCGACGGAAAACTTTATTTAGTGAGATCGGGATGATGGGAATTTAAAATATATGAGAATGTAAGTAGATATATGTGTATGTAGATATGTATGTACACTTCAGTTCAAAAGTTTCACTTGTGAATCCCGTGGGACACGTCCTCTTGCACAATTGAAGAACAAGTGACACTCCATATAGACAATTATATGGGATATCCGCATTTTCACAAGTGAAAAATCAACGGGATTTTACTTGTTCCCTATGCTCATTTTTCGTATGGCCTGTCGCGTGTCGGTGAAACGTCCCACGTGAATTCACTTGTGAAATTTAGATTTTTTCCCTTGAGTTTTCACTTATGAAAATATAGAATTTAAAATACATACATTTTTTATTACATTTAAAGTCATTTTAATTAGATCGTATTATACAGATTTTCAATTAAGGGACAATTATTGTTAGGATTTCTGTTTTTTTGTTTTGATAGTTTGTTTTTCACGTTCGTCATCGCCTTTCTCAAACATGTGTCCGGGTCCTCCGAATCCTTGGCCAACGCTCCTGCAAAAATGTATGTATGTTTAAAAAATGCTTTTTACTTGATTATTTTTATATTTACCTTTTAGAGCTGTGCATAAACCCTTTGCGGGATTTTTTTTGGCACAAAACATTTCATCATCCACTTTCGGCTAACGGAACCCATTGAAACCCTTGAAAATGTACGTACTTTAAACTAAGATCAAAGCACAACATCTTAAACTTAATGTAGCACTTACCTGACTTTATTATATTAACTTGAAGAAACGATTAAAGTAACTATGCTGCGCACAAATAAAATGGATGCTTCCCTTTCAATCACTCAAACAGAATGCATCAAGTCTTCCTTTCACCCCTGTACTTGGTTTCTTTTGTTTTCACTTCGCTATTGGCGCGTGCCACTGCAGCTATACCCTTTTTATAGCGAAAAATATTCGACTGTATAATTTGTACTTCTCAAGTAAAAAATGCAATACGAATTTTTTAAAAATGTTATTCCAAATGTTATTCCACAGTTTAGAGAAGGCGACCTCACCACGGTCAGACTGGAGCTAAACGAAAACACTCATCACACCATAGCTTCATTCTATCTGGCTCACGACTACGAAGGGCCTCTACCAAACACCACTATACAATAACTCATACATACACACTCATCTAAGGAACTCATCCTGGGTGGGGACGCTTACTCACACCACACACAATGGGGAAGTACAAACACAAACGAAAGGGGTGAGTTACTCTACGACTATCTCCTTCAATCAAATCTATTCATCTGCAACAAAGGTAATGATCCAACTTTCATCACTAGAAATAAAAGGGAAGTCTTAGACAAGTCAATTGTCGAACCTAACCTAGACATTACACTAGTATCTGATCCCATAATTAACCAGCTAGAAGCGTGGAAGGTGGGGACCGAGCACTCATTCTCAGACCTCCGATACATAGTGTTTGTGCCTAACCGAAGTAGACACTTCCGGGTCACACCGCGGGACAAGGGGGTAATAAGCACTTGTCGCTGGCACGGGGACGCTATGATGGCAGGACGATCGCGTCGCGGCAATGGTAACGATGGTTACTGCGATGCCGGACCACAGGCGATGCTGGAGCTGCGCTGAGGTTGAGCTAGCGTGATTAGCTGCTAGTTGAGATAGTGTATTACGAGCCCTATTCCCAGATGTAGGAAGTAGAACCGCGGAGTTATGAGGTGTGTTGATAACTGTTTTATTCTTCATTTGGAACATGTTTATATACTACTTGGAACACGGAAGTTTAGTGTAATGATTAGTGAAGTAAGCTATATTCTAAAGTTGGTCAGGGAATTATGATTTTGGTAGCAGTTTGCGTAGTTGGCTTTGCGTAGTTGACTGACACTGCAAAATGTACTGACTGCATTGGCCGGTCAGTGTGCCGTTGAGTCGGTGAGATGGTGAGTTAGTGAGACATTTAATATGCTGATCAGCAATTCTCATATGCAGTGGGTGCTACTGAGCGCCTGGTACTGTTCCCAACTTGGATACTGCTTGATTTGTTGGGTGTGGTCATGTTGAGTACCTTTTGGTACGAACATTCTCCCCCCCATTGAGGGGTAGCCTCAATTAAGTCGTGATGTCGGTCAGCCCTTGACCGAATTATATAGGAAGCACCTAACAAATCATTGACCAAGGTGGATCTTTCCTTCAACTGCGGTTCATGTTTGTGATTCAGGTCCTTCTCATCTTCTTGATGCTGCTTAACACTCCCCTTTGCGATAAAATTGACATTACCGTGGGGACTGAAATTGTGCCCTCGTAGAACTTGATCATTTGGCACGTCTATGGTATGTGGACATTCTGCAACAAAACTAAGATCTTCCTTGGTTAAGCTTAGAAATGTTGAACCAAAGTCAGCCTTCTTGTAGGTTTTAAATTGATGAGAAGTCGGTTCTATATTCATCGGACTTTTATCTTTTGTTGGATCATAAGCAGCGTTCGGTCCTGCAAAATCACCTCTGCCTTCTACCAGAAAAGGGTTGATTTCCGTATCAGATGAGGTTTCTTTATTGAGATAACCTGTGATTACATAACCAAGCCTAGTGCCTTGTGACAAAGGTTTAATAGGTCCTAGTTCAAGAAGTTCACCGGTTATTACACGAGAATACACCTCAGCCCCTAAGGTTAGGTCAATGGGTTCAGGTTGCCGAAAGTCAGGATCTGCTAATGGCAGTCCCTCGGGAATATTAAGATCGGTTGTAATCGGTACTGACGGTTGGTCTGTAATGACTGTGGGCATAATAAATACCTCTAATAGTTTTTCAAGCCCTGATGTACATGATGAGAGCTTTAGTGTTGATCTAATTGCTGTTGATATCTTTCCTCCGATTCCAGATATTTCAATCGGTGCCCTTTCCTTAAGAGATAGCAGATCTGCCATTCTCCTTGAGATAAGATTCACCTGTGATCCACCATCTATTATAGCGCGACATGTTTGTAATTGACCGTTTGGCCCTTGTAATGAGACCTTGGCGGTCGCGAGCAGAGCATATCCTCCTACGTTGTCGTAGCCTGCAATGGTAACTGCGCCGGCCACTGGATTGCTAGTCGGTCCTTGGTGTAACAGTGAATGATGCCGTTGCTGGCAGACTCGACAAGTGGTCGGTGATCCACAGTTTTCAACCTTATGAGCTGTAGACAAACAATTTGTGCATGCTCCTACTTGAATAATGGCTTGACGCCGTGCTTTGGGGTCCATTTGCTGGATACGGCTACATGCTCTACGATTATGTTGTCCTAGGTGACAAATCTTACAGCTCTCTTCGTTGTGAACTGACTGATGGCGGAGTGTTGCTGTAGGTTGAGCGCTTTTTGTCTCCAGCATGCAAGCGCGCCGCTCAATAAACGTCAGTACACTTAATAACGTTGGAATTTCCGTTGGTGCATCCGCTGAATTTTCTAGAGCAGCTAGAGACTGCTGGTCTATTTTTCTTCTGATAAGAAAACACAGGATTGGATCCCAGGATTTTGTGCTGATATCGAGGTTTTTAAGAGTACTCATTGAGTTTTTTATAGTGTCATGTAAGGCCCTTAGTTGGCGCGAGGAGCCGTCTATAGGCATATGGTCAATAATTTTTGCAATGGCGGCGAATACTAGTATTTTGCCGTTCTGGTACCTGGCCTTCAACCGCAACCAGGTGTCGTCATAGCCACCCTGTGAGAAGGCTATGTCTGTCAAGACGTTTTTCGCTTCACCACGAAGCGAACTCTGTAAAATATGTAGTTTTTGACTGGCCGAATATGGTTTATTATGTACCAATTCCACAAAGAGATCATGGAACCGTGGCCAGTCTAGATACTCGCCGTTGAACTCCGGAATGCTAATTGGCGGAAGTGCCAAGTTTAGGCTCATTGGCGAGTCGTTTTCTCGAAGCAAGTTCATTTCGTATTCCTCGTATGATGTGTGGAATTGAGCTAGCTCTGCTTCTGCCAGGGCTGCGGCCCCAGGTGTGCTGTCCAATTCGTCGTGGGCTTGCCTCAGTAACGCCCAATGGCGATCCAGGTGCCTTTGTAGGGCTGGGGTGACAGTTGGGGCGTTCGAGGCTAATGTTAATGATGACTCCAATTCGTTGCAACTTCTCTGCAACTGTCGGATCACCGTGTCAATTGTGGAATCTCCTTTGACTTGATCTCTTGTTGCGAGCTTGATGTTGGTCGAAGTTCGTCTGGGGGTCTTCGGAAGCCCGCTTCCAGTCGGCATGTTGTCCAGAAAGATATTCTGATATTTTTCGACCAGCTCTTTAAGTGCTACTAGTCGTGAAGAGTACTCACTTCCAGTGGGTAGTGCCGCTTGCTGGACTTCTTCATCTAGGTCGCAAAACTGCTGCCAGAGATCGTTTAACTGAGTTAGCTTACCGGAATAATAGCCGTCTCGGTGGCGTCGGTCGGCGGAAACCTTGCCATAATTCTTAATGAGCTGTTGGATTTTCCCTTGCAGCTCGTTTTGGGTGTCTAGTAATCGATTGTGTAAATCGATTCTTGTGTGACTTGTTTCCTCAATGAATGAAGTATACATATTGTGTGTCTTGGAAACAAAGAATCTTGTGAAGCTGGATGAAGCTGAGTATCCTGTGAAGCTGGATGAAGCTGAGTATCCTGTGAAGCTGGATGAAGCTGACGTTCCTGTGACGCTGGAAGAGAAGCGAGTCCTGTGAAGCTGGATGAAGCTGAAGTTCCTGTGACGCTGGAAGAAGAAGCGTATCCTGTGAAGCTGGATTAAGCTGAAGTTCCTGTGACGCTGGAAGAAGAAGCGAATCCTGTGAAGCTGGATGAAGCTGAAGTTCCTGTGACGCTGGAAGAAGAAGCGAATCCTGTGAAGCTGAATTAAGCTGAAGTTCCTGTGACGCTGGAAGAAGAAGCGTATCCTGTGAAACTGGATGAAGCTGAAGTTCCTGTGACGCTGGAAGAAGAAGCGAGTCCTGTGAAGCTGGATGAAGCTGAAGTTCCTGTGACGCTGGAAGAAGAAGCGAATCCTGTGAAGCTGGATTAAGCTGAAGTTCCTGTGACGCTGGAAGACGAAGCGTATCCTGTGAAGCTGGATTAAGCTGAAGTTCTTGTGACGCTGGAAGAAGAAGCGAATCCTGTGAAGCTGGATTAAGCTGAAGTTCCTTTGACGCTGGAAGAAGAAGCGTATCCTGTGAGGCTGGATAAAGCTGTGAGTCCTTCAGTGGGAAGGGGGTTGCTTGAGTGTGATCCTTTGTTGTTAAAGGATCACGTCGGGGTCACCAATGTTTGTGCCTAACCGAAGTAGACACTTCCGGGTCACAGCGCGGGACAAGGGGGTATTGAGCACTTGTCGCTGGCACGGGGACGCTATGATGGCAGGACGATCGCGTCGCGGCAATGGTAACGATGGTTACTGCGATGCCGGACCACAGGCGATGCTGGAGCTGCGCTGAGGGTGAGCTAGCGTAACTAGCTGCTAGTTGAGATAGTGTATTACGAGCCCTATTCCCAGATGTAGGAAGTAGAACCGCGGAGTTATAAGGTGTGTTGATAACTGTTTTATTCTTCATTTGGAACATGTTTATATACTACTTGGAACACGGAAGTTTAGTGTAATGATTAGTGAAGTAAGCTATACTCTAAAGTTGGTCAGGGAATTATGATTATGGTAGTAGTTTGCGTAGTTGGCTTTGCGTA